ATGTTTCCTATTGTTATTCTTCTTTTCAGAATTTTCCTGGTGATTCTCATATTTTCCATAAAAATTTGAGAATCAGCTTATCAGGCTTTTTTTAATCCTGTAATTATAGGAATTACATTAAATTTGCAGATTAATTTATGGAGTCCTACGTCTTTATGACAGGTTTTTCTACCCAAAAGTAGGATATGTTTCCAATTAAAGATTTCTTTGGGAGCTAGGAGTATAGAGCATTTGCTTAGCATGTGCAAAGCGTTGGTTCAATCCCCAGCACCACAAAAGAAAGAAAAACTCAGTAGTTTTAATAGTTGTCCTGGAAATGTCTTAACTTGGGCTGCAATAACAAAATAAAGACTAGGTGGCTTATGAACAAAGGAAACATACATATCTCACAGTTGTGGAAGCTAGAAGTCTGAAACAGGGTACTAACAGTCAGGTTCTGGTTACAGCCCTCTTCTGGTTGGCAAATTGCCCTCTTCTCTTTGTATCCTCACGTGGTGAAGGAGAGGAAGAGAACTCTCTGGGGTCCCTTTTATAATGGCCATAAATCCCCCCACAAAGGTTGCAGCTTAATGAGGGGGAGTATTAAGTTCAAAGCTAATAAAGTAGTATCTATATGCTTTTAATCAACCTATTCCTTAGTACAATGCTTACCTGTGAATTCCTGGCTGCTGTTTCCCATGCCTCATTGACTCCTGATCTATCCTTCTCAGTAGTTATAAAATATTTTAAATTCTTTTAGCCCATTTCCTGCATCATATCTCCCAAGGAAATTTACCTAGTAACCATTCATTGAACTGGTTTCTTCCAGTCCCCAAGCTTTCCCTTCCCACTCCACCAACCGCCTCACTGTCTCATATACCTTAATTCTGTCCCCAGCATATAGCAGCATCTAAATCACACCAGGTCACATCTATTCTATTTTGGGTGGGGAAATGGGGGGAGGGAGTGATACTGGAGTTTGAACTCAGGACCTTGCACTTGCAGGCGCTGTACCACTTGAAACCACACCACCAGCCCACATCTATTCTTCAACACAGAAGAATTTAACCTTCACTTTGAGCCAAGGGTCTCCATTCTTCCATAATTATTTATGGAATATTTACTTCCTTTTTGCCTTTCCTAAATCTAATACTTCGTAAATTGTTGATTTTCTCTGAAGCTTATTTTAAATATGCTCTTACTTTTACATATGAGAGTGGTTCTTTATTCTGCTTGGTTCCAAATAATAGGGTCCCAATACCAGGAGTGGCTCTGTAAGCAGGAGACTTTCCATATTAAAGGAGTGTTCCTTTGTGCTCATCCTTGGGTACAAATCACCAGGGATCCTTTAAATGAGAAAAGACCTGGCTGGCCCAGAGAGTGGTATTTATAAATAGTACTCTAGCCTCCCTTCTTTAAAGCTTGTCTACCTAATCCTCCTCTCAAGATTGGAAGTGACTTGACCTTTGAATCTTAAAACTCAGGCTCTTTTTCTCTGAAAATCTGGTTAACAAAAACCTGCTAAAGCAACAATATTTTTAGCTAGATGATAATTAGTCATCAAAGCTCATCTTTCACGTATAACATTTTTAACCAAATGTTTCTACTTTTGAGAACCAACTGTTTGGGTTTTGGTTTGGGTTTAGTTTGGTTTGGTTGGGGGTAAGGGTGTCTGTTTTGAGACAGAGCCTCACTATGTAGCCCAGACTGACCTCAAACCAAAGACCCTCCTGCCTCAGCCTCTGGAGTAGCTGGATTTATAAACAAGTATGTGCCGCCACATCTGATCTCTTAAGTCGTTTTTGGTGTTGGTGCTGGGGATTGAACCCAGGACCTCACTATACTAGGCAAACACTGTACCACTAAGCTACATCCCCAGCACTCATTGTTATTTACCTTAATGACTTTTTTTAGTAGTAAGCTATTATGGATTTGCATTTTTATGATTTATAGAGGTGTTCCCAAATAGCTATATCTCTACCATAAGCTAAGAACCTTTGCAACCTTAGCTTTCTTTTGCTTTTTTTTCTATTGGTTGAATGATTGATTGCAGTGCTAGGGATGAAATAAAAAGCCTTGCACATGGTAGACCAATGCTCTAACACTGAGCTATATCCCCAGCCCAGAGTCTTCCTTTTTACCCTTAAAATTACAGAACTTGAAGGGACTTTATATAGCCTCCATCCCAGCACCCCGGGGTGAGCTTTCTTTGTATGTTTCTAATTTTGTATTACTTAATGAGAATAGAATCTTACCAAGTCTTTTTAGGATTGTAAAATGAAGCACTTCCCCTCAGAAGGAAGCAGCCAGAGGGTGCTGTTGGAAAGAGGGTTTGGTTGCTAGACAGCAAAAGAAAAAAAGCATATGTAAACTGTGTCATCTGTGTGTAGCTGGCACTTGTCTCTTTAGGAATATTAACCATCTTTCATAGACTTTGCTTCTGTTCTTGGATAACAGTAATTTTCTTCTTCTTTGTCCACCCTATTTTTTTAAACAAAAGTATCTTTTTAAACTTAGTAGTCTTTATTTTTATAGCTTTTAAATGTAGTCTTTATTTTTATAAAGTTGTATGTGTCCACCATTTAAAGAATCAGTCTAGGGCTGGGAGCATGGCTCAAGAGGTAAAGCACCTGCCTAGCAAGTTCAAACCCCAGTAACACCCAAAAAAAAAGAAGAACCAGTCCTCCCACTTTCTAATGAAGAGGTACATTCTCTGTCTTCCCAATTCTATTTTCTACTCCCCAGAGAAAACCGAAAACTCTTTTCAATTCTTTTTAGCTGATTTATTTAGTATTTATCTTGGTATTTCTAAGGAGCACAGTATGGCTACATTTTAGTATTTCAGTTTTAGGCATTGTTTATCTACTTCGAATTATGGAAAAATAACAGTGTTGTTGTTTCTTAAACCTTCATGTCTCCAGGCCCTTCCCCATCCTCCTGAGCTAACTGACTGGATCTGAAGTCTGTGTTTTGATTTATTACAACTGTGTCTACATTATTTGCAGTGAAACATAAAGTATACTACAACTATATATTGTTTCCAGTACTATCTTTGATTTGTCCCTAATGTCAGTAATTGTCCTGTTTTTTGATTCGTTTGCTTAGGTCTTCTGCACTGTGCACTCATTTCTCCTAACTGTATACACCTACCTCTCATGAATCCCATGTTGTCCGCTTCCTTGGCTTTTTCTGTCATTTTGATAGAGCATGTAATCAGTTTATTGGAAAAGTAAAAACATTTTTTCAGCTCATAATCAGGAATTATTTCCTCGAGAATGTTAAAGGCATTGCTGTTTTTTTCTGTTGAAAAGTAATTCTGGGATTTTATTGAAAAATCATTCTGATTTTTTCTCTTTATATCACAATTTGTTTTTCCTTTGGAAATAAACTTCTCTTTATGGTTTTTTTTCTTTCTTTCTTTCTTTGTGTGTGTGGCGGGGGGCGGGGGTCGGACTAGGGTTTGAAATCAGGGCCTACACCTTGAGCCACTCCATCAGCCATTTTTTGTGATGGGTTTTTTCGATATAGGGTCTCTTGAACTATTTGTCCAAGCTGGCTTTGAGCTTCTATCCTTCTGACCTCTGCCTCTTAAGTAGCTAGGATTACAGGTGTGAGTCACCAGTGCTGGGCAAGAATCTTCTCAGTATCTTTGATATTCTACAGATTCACTGTGATGGGACTTAGAAATTTGCTGGACACTTCAGTGTATTTATATATTTGTTTTTGGCAGTGCTGGGGTTTGAACTCCAAGGCTTGCACTTCCTAGGCAAGCCCAAGTCCTTGACTTAATTTAATGATATCTTCCCTTCTATTTTTTCTGTTCTGTCTTTCTAGGATTCCTTTTATTAGATGTTGAACTCCTTGGACTATTTTCCACTTTTTGTATTTTTTCTCTTCTATTTTCTTTTCCAAACTTTTTGTTTGCTTTTTTTTTTTTTTTTTTTTTTTTTTTTTTTTGTTACTAAGGTTTTGAACTTAGGGCCTCACACTTGCTAAGCAGGCACTCATACTGTTTGAGCCATTCAACCAGCCCTTTTCTCTCCTATTTTCTATCCTTGACTTTTTCTTTGTCTTTCTTTTTTTTCTTTTCCCTTGAGAGCTTTCCTCAACTTTATCTTCCAACTCTTGCATTGAGTTGTTTGATTCTGGTACCAAAATGCATGTTATTCTAGAGTTCTCTTTTGTCCTCTGAATGTACTTTTTAGAACACTGGTATTATTATTAGGAAAAACTGATATTAACATACTTATTTTATCAAATAATACAAACAATAGAGAATGTAAATACTTGAATAGGAGGCATTTTTGGACTGAAAAAATAGTATCAGTTGACTAGACTCATAAGTTGGAAACTTGAGCCAGAGAAAATTGCCTAAAATATGAAAAATCAATTGTGTATAACATTTAGTATCTGTAAGGGTTATGTCAATTCTTTATTTTTTAATGCTTAAAAAAAAAAAACTTTGTAACTTTGTATCTTCATCTATAGTCTTTTTTTCTCTTAGTTTGTTTTGGTCTACTTTTCATACTAATGCCTTCTTGAATTTCTGGGAATTCATAGCTATCTTCTCATATTTAAAAGCAGGGCACTAAAAAGCTATTTGAGAGTTCTGTGCTTATGAGTGAAGTATATGGACTGTGGTCTTCACTGTAGGGGGATCCACATTAGTCTTTCTTTTGAGATAGTTCTGATACCTGTTCTTTTATGTTAGCTGGTCAGATACTGTTGGCAGATTTTAAATTTTTCTCTGTTCATTTTCTATCCTTTTCTTGCAATTTCTAGGTGAGTGCAATCTTTGGATCCTTAGTTGTATATAAATGTATCTCCTATAGGTCTCTCATTTCCTCCAGTTGATATCTGTTGGATTCTTATACACACCCTGGTCTGCTTTCATGGCACTAAGCAGATTGGCAGACTTGTTGAAAAGTAAACAAGAGTTGGTAGGAACAAATGCAAGATTCCTAGGGTACAAAGTTGAGTCACTTTCAGAGCTTTATTTTTCCTTAGTCATATTTGATCAGAAATTGGATGAACCTTCGGGATGCTGAGACAGGGAAGATACTCTGGCAAGGAACAGAGGACCTGTCGGTCCCTGGTGTGGAACATGAAGGTACTCTCTTATCCCTTGTGTGCCCAGGCTATGACCACTGCTAGAATATGCCCTGACATGAGGGAGCAAAGTAAATGCACAGGCGGGTGAACCAAGAAGGCACAGTATGCAAATCCACTTGTTACTGACATTTTTTCTTTACTCTTTACATTGTCTTTCTCCTATTTCCCAAAATCTATTTTGTGCTGAAATTTTAGCATTTGAACATACCCAAAGATAATAAGCTAAGATTGCAACTATTTTCCAAAAGAAAATTTGCATTTTTATCTCCCTGAAGTAAACGAAAAGGTAGAGTTACAACCAACAAAACAGAATAAAGAAGGGTACCCATGCAGCTCTGTGCCTAACAACAGCAGCTAGGTGAGGCCTGTGGAGGCACCAGATTTGGTGTTCCTTGATGATCTATCAAATACAGTTGACCCATTAGAGAGTTCTGCCTTCACCTAAAGAAAGTAATGCACTTACTGAGGCATTATCTGAATCTAATGTATATACAAGTTCTTTAAATCAGCCATGAGAAGCTCCCAGAAACCTGAAGCATCATAATCATGTGCTTTTCATTTAGAACTGCTCCAACATTTCTTTTCCCTCATCAGCCCGTGTTCCCAAGAAAATCCTCAAGTGCAAGGCAGTGTCTCGAGAATTGAATTTTAGTTCGGCAGAACAAATGGAAAAATTCCGCCTGGAACAAAAAGTTTACTTCAAAGGACAATGCCTAGAAGGTATTCTGCTGCCTACATGCTTAAAATCAGGGCTCAGGGTGACAGAGACAAAAAGCAAAGTGGTACTTTGAAACATTTATTTTATAACTCAGTTTATAAGAGTATTCCTACACTCTGCAAGATTGGGGACCCCCCAGTGAAAACTAAAACAAGACTGGCCACAATTAAGGGCTTGGAGGTCTCTGACACTGGGATCCTGGGTGTCTGTCCCTGGTTTGGTACTGATGTGGTATTGTGATATGATCATGGAGGAAGCAGCTGTGATCAAACCTCATACAGTGTCTACATACAGCATCATAAGACAAGGTGGCAGAGCCATTCTTCATTGAGTTCTCACATGAAGTATAAGAGGACACATAGGCACCTTCTTATTTCTACTAAGATTCCAGGTGAAAAAGCCTGCCTCTGCTTTAGTTCACATCCATGCTACTTTTCTCAGAAAATGCTGCTGTACTATGACCTGGTCACTGGTCCTTATCCGCTAGATCCCATGTAAAGCAAGGCTCTGGTACAATTTGGAGGACAGCCTGAGGAGGCTTCCATATCTTTTCATATGTCTCTGTTCTGGGAGGTTTCTGATAGCTTCCTTCAGTGGTTCTGGGTAGAGATTCACTCTAAATGAAGAGAACAAAAAAGCCCTTAAACTTTATATGGAGGCAGCTGCTCACTGGCCTTTCCTTCTTCCTTCAGAATGGTTCTTCGAGTTTGGCTTTGTGATCCCTCACTCTACAAATACCTGGCAGTCCCTGATAGAGGCAGCACCTGAGTCCCAAATGATGCCAGCCAGCGTCCTGACGTGAGTGAAGTCCCAGGAAACCTGGAAGTGTGTCTCTAGCAGGCTTTCCAGGCAGGTGGGACTCCTTGTCCCATTCAGGGGGAGGGAACTAGGGAGAAATAAAGATAAAAAGAGTACCCAGGGTGTTATAGTTTATAGGTTGCTGACTTATCCTATGAAAAAGACATTGTAGAGCAGAAAGAATTAAAAACTTTAGATTAGACCATGTTTTAAATTCCCAATTTACCCTACCTGCCATCTTGGGTAATAATATACCTTACCTTTCTGAACCTTAGTGTTTCATTTCTACACAAAGAATGAACTAATTCTCTCTCACAGAGGTGGAGTAAAGCTAAAATGAGACAATGTGGAAGGAAACTGGCACTTAATAGATATCAAATCTAGCTACTTCGTAGTCTCTCCTGATTGCTGTCCTCTGGTATCTTTGCATTATTTGGATCGCCTTAACACAATCTGTGGTGCATACCTGTAAACTCAACATTAAGGAGGCTGAAGTTGCAGTGGAAGGAGTGAATTCAAGTATGATATATTTGATATTGTAAGAACCTTTGTAAATACTCCAATATGCCCCCCACCCAGCACAACAATAAAAAAAAAAAAGAGGCTGAAGTTGAAGGATTTCAAGTCCAAGACCAGCCTGGGTTTCATAGTGAATCCCTGTCTCTTAAAAAAAAAAAAAAAAAAAAAAAAGCCGGGTGCTGGTGGCTCATGCCTGTAATCCTAGCTACTCCAGAGGCAGAGATCAGGAGGATCGCAGCTCAAAGCCAGCCCAGGCAAATAAGTTCATGAGACCCTATCTTGAAAAACCCTTCACAAAAATAGGGCTGATGGAGTGGCTCAAGATGAAGTGAAGACCCTGAATTCAAGCCCCAGTACCACAAAAAAAATAAATAAAAAAGAGTCCCGCGCCCATGGAGAATTATCTGATCATCTCTGCCAGCAGTTCCTTTATGAAAGCCTTATTAAATGTAAAATAGAGATTATTTACATTTTAAGTTTTTAGTATGGACAATACTGGGATTTAAACTCAGGACCTCACATTTGCTAGGCAACTCTTTACCATTTGAGCCACACACTCAACCTTCTTTAATAGATTTTTAATTACAATGGTAGCTTTTTTTGGTTAGTTTTTGTTATTTATCATCAGAAATGTAACTCTTGGTTATTAATTACTCAGGGATATTACAAGGTAATATAGGAGGACATTCTTATAGATTTTATTAACCTTCATTTGACTTCTTGACCAGCCTGATTTCTTTCAGGCACTAAAACCAGTAAATCTTGCTAACATCTTTGCATTATTTTACTTGCTTGCTTTTTTTTGGGGGGGGGGGTAGTGCTAGGTATTGAATTAAAGGCCTTGTACATGTTGTTAGGCAAGTACTTTATCACTGAGCTACATCCCCAGTCCACATCTTTGCATTATGTCATCTGTTACCCTGAAAAGTGATTTGGTAAGGTCACAGTCTAAACCATTTTACAAATAGAGGCACTGTGATATCCACCCATAAAAATGAAATTCCACCCTCACAATATAGATGCATCAATTCAGGTTCTTTATTGTAAGCCACAGAAACAGACTAGCTAACAGAACAGAGTTGGAGCAAGTAAGAGACATGGGCAGCTTGGAGGATACAGGGGCAGGAATCTTTGAATGGCTTCCTCAAGGACCAGCCAGAGGAAGGATCCTGCTCAGAGGAGAGAATCTGATTGGCCCAAATTATATCCTTTGTCCACTCCTTTGTAAGGTGACGGAAGGGTCTCTCAGTATTCACTTGGATTGGAGGAAGGATGGTTCCCAAAATGAAGAGTAGAGTGCTATTACCCAAAGTCAGGAGTATCACTGCAGGGTAGGCAAACCCAAGCTATTCCCTGTAGTCAGTATTGGAGGGAAAGGTCCCTCCCCTGAGGTCTTAGGCATCTGTTTGAAATCCAGCCAGAGCTGTCCACCAACACAGTATCAGAAAGTCTGTGGGATCCATATGCAACCTGTGCAGAACACTCTATGAAGGAAATACGCTTTCACTTCTGACTTCTGAGCTTGACGGAAACAAACTAGTCACAGAAGTTAAGTGCCATGTGAGACATCTAGGTCACATGGACAAAGTCATTTTTTGTTTTGTTTTTTTTGTTTGTTTCTGAGATAGGATGTTGCTATGTAGCCCAGGCTGGCCTCGAACTTGCAATGCTTCTGCCTCAGCCTCTTGGGTACTGAGATTACAGGCATGAACCATCATGCCTTGCTCTGGACAAGGATTTTAAAGGCCCCAAGCTCAGGCTCTAACTGGCGCCTAGGTGCAGGCTCAGGGTCTAGGCTCGGGGCCCAGGTGGACTTGTGAAAGTGGAGCTTGCCCTGATGCTCACATTCTCTTCTTTCTCACAGGGGGAACGTCATCATAGAGACAAAGTTTTTTGACGATGATCTTCTTGTAAGCACGTCCAGAGTGAGGCTTTTCTACGTTTGAGAGAAGAACTTGTGTACACTTCAAGAATTGGGGTTTTGCGGGGAGGAGGAAATTGTTTACTTTTTTCCTCCACACATTTGATTTTTGACACTTCACCCAATTACCTTGATGCAGAACCTGCTTATGGCCACCAGGGACCAGCTTCATGTAGGTAACCAGATGGCTTTTTTCTCCCAAGCTGCCATCTTCCACTGACCAGTCTACACTCCCAACCTGAGATCAGGGCAGGCGATATGCCTCGACTCCTTCCTGGTACACACACAGGAACAAGCCCATACCTCAAACCAGTACTGCAACTGTCACCTGCCCCACCTGCTCCTTGGGCCCTACAGGCTTCCTTTCGCTCTCGTCAAATTGGAACATTCA